ATGGGAGTTTCTCCACTGTCGATCCTTGGCTGAAGGCAAATGAAGAAAAGTACACATGGAAAAGTAAGCACATACAGATAGATGACTGTCTACTAATGGTCCTATTTGTGTGTTCTTGACATAAACACACACACACGTGTCTTTTTCTAACTTCACAAGTACATTGCATTGGCTTTCAGTAATTTTTCATTCAAGCCAAACATAAACCCAATTCATGCCTTAGTCCTCAAACTAGCCCCTAGCCCAGCAACAGCACTTCATTTTATGAGGTTCGGGCTTCGGGTCCCATAAGGAGAAGTGGGTCCTCACACTTCTCCTTATGTGTGAGCCCCATCTTTCTATTTGCTAGAAAGATGGGCCTGCTTTAACACACCTGAATCAGTTGATTACAGTTCAATAAAAGTCTGTTAATCAGCCATCAACTGGAATCAGGTGTGCTGAGGCAGGGAAACTGTTAAAACATGCACTGTGCCATGAGGACCAGGGTTGGAAAACACTAGTTCAGCCTACCGTTCACCACGATGTACTCATGGTAAAACAGTGGCTATTAAAAATTACAGTGCTCAAAACCATTTAAAAAGTTTTCTATCCCTTTCAGGTGGTCAACTGGATATAGTGTTACTTATGCATAAGAGTAAAGCATTGGTTTAAACTCAAAGTCCAAAGAAGACAATGGCCCAGGCATAAAATGAAAGCTAACAGGAAAAATACTGCAAAGAAAAAAAGTGTTCCTGTGAGGCAGATGATAGGATAGTTACCACTGCAGTGGAAAGAGTGGAAACACATTTTTCAATGTGGTAGAGGACTGTAGTATTCAGTCTGTCGGAGGACTGATTTTAGACAATATGTGAAGTAAAAGATAAATTCAGAGTGTTCCTTCCAACAGCTTGATGAAGTGTCACACAAAGACTAATGTCCCAGCGAGGAGAAAAAACTAACCTTCAGAGAAGAGGCGGATATTGATTGGAAAGAACTTGCCTTGGAATACAGAGGCTTTCAGAGCTGACAGCTTTGGAGCTACTAATTCATAAACATGAAAACAAGAAGATTGAGTTCCACAGAAACTTCAGTTCCACAGGATCTATCAGCAATAGTGGGGACGTTTCTTGATGCTTCAAGTCATTAAACCCTAGGCATGACTGTGTGTTCCCCAGGAAAATCTAAGTGCAATTAAAATGAATGACGTGAATTACCACACAGGCTGTCAGAAAACATCTGGTCAGTTTGTCAATGACCTTGAATCATGGAAAATAAAAAAGCTCCATAATCTGAGAGTTGATACTGATGTGGAGACACACACTCAAGGATATTAAATATACACATAAACCTAACATCAATAAATCAAATGTCAGAGCCCCTGGTCACCACACTCATACTTACTTTTAGTCAATTATAAATACATGTCATAATTATTATGGATGTCACCGATCAGGTTTAATTCAGGTCCTTTGATTTTGAGTACCACAGTACTATCAATGCTTTCTCATTTTGTCTCCAAGACTCCAAAAAGCCAGAGAAAGTTGCTAAATTTGTCATTAGTCTCTTTTTAGAAAGAAAAGATTGCTAGAGTGGCCTGAAAAGTTATTAAATACGCCGATGACGTTGCTAAGTTGGCAACGGTTCTCACACTTCAAACTGGTGTCGTGTTCTGCTTCACTTTACAATCAGATTACATAAATATGCTAGCATAACTGACAGGGGATTTGTTCTGCAATCTGTACACTGACATGATTCAAAGGTTCAAATACATGGAAATTGCCTCGTCCCAGAAGTCATGAAGAACTGTATAGCTGCAGGTAAGTGCACTGAGAGAGGATGTAATTAAACAAAAAAAAAAAAAAACCTTAAATGATGTTGAAGTTTACTGTTGGGTTTTTGATGGTAAAATCTGATTATTAAGAAGAAAAAAATTATTTGTCTATTTCTGAAACGATTTCTTTAAAAAAAAACTATCTGGAAAAACAATATGTTTTGCAAAATACTTCTACACTAGATGCTGAATTATTCCAAAGCAGTGAAGCTGCATTTTCTCTAAAGATTGAATACTTTGTTAGGTTCTATGCAGCATGCAATACAAATTCTGTACATCAGCATCTGTAGACCGGATGGAAGTAGCTCTCACAGCTTGGCTGCATATCATTTCATCTCTCTAATAGAAGACAAATTCGGATGAAGTAATATTAGTTTCATTTCTTTCTAAAATGAGCAAGCTATCTTATTGCGTGAAAAATATCCCAAAGCCAATTAAAATGCACATCTGTTTTATTAAAGGAAATAATATCCATCCATCTTATCTGTCAGCGTTATCCCCCAGGACCATCATGCACATCATCAACCTCAACATGTCTTCATGGATATTTGACTGTGGAAACTAATTGAAGCAATTTCGTTTCATTTCAAAGAGATGCTTCACATGGTGGATGTCTAATTTAATATATAAAATTTACATTTTATAAATTATTCAGTAATGTATGGGTACTGTAGAAAGTAAAGTATGACCAAAGAGTAAGGAACCGCATAGATAGATGGATAGAAAACTGAATTGAATGAGTAATCCTTGATGCTTTGAAGGTAGATATGATCTGATTCCCGTCAACACTTTTTCACTACAGGTAAGTCAATCATTGCTTTGTTTTAGATTGGAATTTGTCCAGCAGTGACAGCATGGTTTTAAAAAAAACCTACTATCACAGAGTTGTTTTTATAACCTAACTGACAGGTATGTAAGGAAACTGTCATGCTTTGGCTTTGGCAGCTGCCACTCTGCTTTTTTCTTCCCCCACACAGACAAGTGGCAGGTGTTCATTTGATTGAGCTTTATTTAATACAACAATTAAACAAGGTGTGCAAACAAAAACAGAGTTCACAGTCACAGCAGTTCCCTGCAACACTAATTGCTTTGCTACAGAGTAATGAATAATTATAATAGGCTATTTTTACTGTGGCTGGAAAATGTTCACTTTTTGTGTGCAGGGATATTCACAAAAAATCTGCAACTACTCTAGACGTTTTTTTTTTTAATTTATTTATTTTTCTGTCTGTTTTTCTCTTGTTTGTTTTGCTGAGACCTAAATGTTCTACCTGGATTAACAGAGTAGATATCTGAAATAATCTGCGATAACCAGCATCTATCAGCCAACCTGCCCTGAGCGCCATCAGCTTTAAAACTGATGATGTTGTACAGCTGGGATCTGGAATAAAGTAGCAAAGCTTATTTTTTTTTTATTTTTAAGCAAAGTAACAGCTTTGTTCTTTTTCCCTCTCTTTCTTTCTGACAGCTCTGTATATTACGGGAAATAAAGTCTCTCCCTAATTCTTTTTCTCTTTCCCTCTTCCCTTTACCTATTTATCTATGTCTTTCTCTGGTTTAGAACATGAGGAACAGAGACTGTGATCAGACAAAGGTATATGTAAATATAAAACCTCATCCGAGAACATTTTCTTGTGTTCGAAACTGCGAGCTCGCTGTGACTGTCAGACATGATGGATAGCTCAAATCCCATAGAGAAGGGTATTTGCAGTATGTAGCACATAAACATAGAAAAAAGATCTCAAGCTTTCTATCAATTTTCATTATGAAAAAAGAGCCATCTCAGTGGCAAGAGTTGTATATCAGACACATTAAACCGTCAGCTGAATATTGAAGTATTACATGCTCCATTTCTCAGAAGTCTAAATTTGTTTTTAATGGGTCTGCTCTGTTCATTGACCTGAGTTCCAGTTTCTAAGTGTCCAACAGAATGAGCGAGTCCATGGCAGCTGTTTGACTGTTATTCACATCAAATCATTACATCAGAGGAAAAAGTCATTTACAAAGCAGACCACTGGTATCTGTTTCTCCACAATGGCACGAATGCTGGTGTCTTTTCTCATATTATCTTTGACATCTTTGAGAGTTGGTAATTTAAGAATGCTAAATTCAAAATATATCCTTCTAGAGTGTCAGTGAAAACTCAGCAGCCTTGGGGCAGATCATCCAGGATTCTAAATTGTTTGATAATATACACTTATGGGTAATATTACTTTATACTTCTGCACTTGAATAGAAATTGAAAGAGGTATCACTTTTTTCTGTATCCAGCCTTCAGTTTCTTGATATTTTTAACATCATCTAGAATGTGTTCTTCAATCCATTGTGATCTTAATGACTGAGATCAGAGGCCCCACCGGTCCAGGAGGATTCACAGACATTCCACTTTTCCGTGACACTTCCAGCATATTCAAAGGTATCTCAAGGTGCTCCCGGGTTCTCCCCCTAGACTAATCACCACCAAAATACCGCAACTTATTCATCTGATGCAGAGTCTGACCTCTACCCAGGAGGAAGCAATCCAGTAAGAACTATCCTCTACATGACCTAGTCTCTGAGGCATGGGAGATGGTGCAACTAAGAAAAGTGCAGAATAATATTGACCCCAAGATCAAAGGGGCTCTCAAACCCCTTCTCCATGTTAAGGTGGCAGTCTTTTGGAAGATGATTCCCTTTACAAGCTGTCTAATTTAAAGCCTGTGGATTAACCCCTCACCTTGCTTACTCAAGTTGGCAGATTCGATCAATTTCAACTCTGTCATTGCATCAGGAGCTGATGTTTTGTTTTGGCTGATAACTGACAGAAAGCTGCATTCAAACTTTGCTGTACATCAATAGTCGATTGCGCAGAAATGGAAACAGTAAGTAAAGAAATCCGACACAAATGTGAAAAAGACAAGTGGGATGTCCACGCATGGTGTTTACACTGCAGTGTCAATAAATCAAACTAATGCTGACAAACAGAGGGAACATTTTCCTGCTGGGCCTTAAGCACTTAGCGGACAGTTATAAAGTGGGCAGTGTGTTTTTAATCGGTTCATGGACACAGTCCTCCCTTCGGAGAAGGAGAACAAGCTTGTCGATCTGTTCCAGCAAACATCAGGGGAGAACACCTTGAAGCCTGAAGCTGCTATCTGCCATGGTGCAGTGGTGGTAATGATTAAGTATCAGTCCAGCGCGCTCCGCTCATTTCCAAACTATCAGTTTCACCTTCTCTACTACATCACATTTGTGGAGCAGAAGGTAATGATCCACTTGGGTGACTGCCAAGTTATTTTCTTCCCAATGTTCTCTTACTCCCCATTTTCCTTGGTCTCTCTCTGGCTCTCTTTGTCTCCACACAACTTTCTGACTTGTCTTCTGTCATTCATTTTTGATATTCATTTTCAGAAATGCTGGTGGAGATAGAATACCTTTGCCCAATAGGTGAGAGAGTCATTTCTGTGAACTTTCTTCGACAGGAGGTCAGAGAGAGTGGCAATAATTTTGCAGAGTTCTTTATAGCTGTTGCAAACCATCCAAAGGAGGCAATTAGGTGAGAAAGGTTGCACATGCTGTGATTATTGGCTGCATGCTCTTCCCTGCTGATCTACTTTGGTTGTCAATCAATTCCTAGGTCGAGGAAATGCTTGGACACAGAAAATTATGCAGCAAGACAAAATATGTTTAGGTTTATTGGAAAACAAATTTAAGGGCAACTCCGCAAAGCATTTTTCAACCAAGTTAAATATATGGCGTTGATGTGAATTCCACTTAGTTGAAGAATAATTTAAAGCTCTATTCATCGACTTTTAAGTTCGAATGGTTTACATGTTCAAAATCCATGATAAATAAAAAACAATGAAAACAATGGTTGTAGCTTCAGCAAATATGTGCCTACCCTTCACACAAATCATCCTCCATTGCTGTTAGAATAACAATAAAATGTTCAGAACACACAAATTTCATTACCAACTTTATAAATACTTACACACCACACATCTCAGATACAGTTACTGTGACAGTGCTGCTTTACACTAGTCACTGATTATTCTATGTCGTCTTAGATTCTATGTCTAAGAATCTAAGAGTATACACAAAAGTCAATGTTTTTAAAAGCAGGTACATTTTTTTACTTACTATGTTCTTTTACTGAGTTGATAAAGGTCAAAACTGAAATCAAAGTAATGAGCTTTAGTGTTTTTTCAAGTTGTTTCAATCATTGGTTGCTGCAAAATGAATGATAATGATGTGTGTTGTTGGAAATATTGATGAGTGAGTGAACGTGTGGAGGGATTTTACCAATAATAGTTTTATGGATGAATTTGTATCAATTTATTAATCTGTGTGAAGGGAGTGATGACCAGTTACTGATAATAATATGGTTTTCATACCGAGGACTTTCTGTAGTTTCACTGTTGTACACAGTTTTGATGAAAAGGGAAACCTCTTCTTTGCAAATGTAAATATATTTTGCATCTGGAATGTGAAATATTTGTTTATTATCATACCTGAATGATGCACAATTTATTATGTCTGATGTTACAGACAAAGGGCTCAGCTTCACTGTAGATTTGATCCAAGCAACATGATAGAATGCATTGTTGATAGTATGTCAGTGTTTTCATTGTACACTGATCTGCTATGCTGTACAAATACTGACCTTTTTCAACAAAAGTTCAAGCAATTACTCTCTGGAAATAGAAAGACCTATAGGCTTCAAAGAGGGTCAAAAGAGCTAGATGATTTCAGTACATCCTCTGTTGTCTTCACAGAAACAGCTCAGAAATTAACATTCTGAGTAAAGCTTCCATGGTATGCAGTATGAATTTAGAGATGATCTGATGATCTGAGATGCTGACAAGGAGGAAATCCGCATTGCTGCAGCAGCTGAGTCTGTACCCAAAGATTCGAGATGTGACTCAGAATGAAGGATGATGGCATTTCCAACAACGCTCACTTATAGCAGTTGTTGAAATTGCAAGTTACTACTGAGCCTAAGAAACATATGTGGTGGGTATTATTATATGGTGGTGCATTATTAAAGTGCACATCAAAAAAGGGACAAGTTCACTCCATAAAATAAAAAGACTTGCAGGGACAATATTCTAGAGCCAGGAAAACTTTCTTATCCAGTGTAATTATAGTTTTGGAGCTTTAGCAATGAGTTTCACTTAGGTATAACAAGAACATTTCATTCAGGTTGAAAATGTAATTTTAAAAACAGATGTGAAAGTTCACGATATGTCGACACTTAGTATTACTCTAGATAAATTGCCAATATCCATGGTGACCAAAATACCCAAAGTGATTACAAAATGCAGTTTTCAAGTGATGATTTGATTTACTAAGAGAAAAAGGACGATAAAATAATTTCCTCTACACATTACAACACTAGATGTCAATAATGTGTTTATAACAATGTAGCCGACTTTGGCCTGCTGAGTTGATTTTATTCAACTATGGATGGTCTGTTTGAGGTCATGCCACAGCATTTCAATTGGATTAAGGTCCAGACTTTGACTAGACCACTCCAAAATCTTCAATTATTTTTATTTTCCCTTCCTTTTGCTTTGTGTGGTTGACCGGCTGGTGTCCTCTGGATTTTTTCAGTTTAACATCACAGACTAATTTTCCTTCAGATTTTCTACATGTGAACAAAATTCAGGTGACCTATTTGAAGGATTCCTTGATTTCTCCATTTCTGGATAAACGTTATGTGATTCACTGGAGCCCCAGAGCCCTGGAAAGGGCTTTTTAATAATTTCCAGTGTAGTAGATGCGAGTGACTTTCAGGGCTCGAGACAGCGACCAACTTGGTCACAAATGTGAAATATTGAAGTCGTACAAGTGTACCTATTCATTCCATGAAAACAAAGAGGTCTCCTGTACTGGACATCTTCCTATGGCTCAGTAACAGATACTTTAAATCAGATCGTGGTATAATTCAATCAAAACTAGTGAATGAGGGTAATCTCCCCTCTGATTGGTTGTGGTCCAGGTGTTCATTAGCATGTCTACATTGTGTACTGTAGTCAAGTAGGCTAGTCTAATTGCATAAACGGAGAGCATACACCAGGATTTTTTTGGACCCAAACTGAGACTGGTGTAAATATATATCTATTTGAACAAACAATAATTTGTGGTGTGTGTGTTTAAATCTCAAAATGCACACACACGTCTTATTCTGGCGCGCGCTCCACCCTCACTCTCTTTCTACTCATGCGCACATCTCCCATTGATTATTTGCAATGTAGCAAAGTATATGCGAATGAACTACTCATAACCTCCTTCCAATCCAACCTCGGATTGAAACAGGAAGCACAAAGCACTTATAAAACACATTACATGCAGCAATAAATGTTCTGCCCAGACGCTGCCCCTCTCTGCTGCCTTTCAGCTGCAGGCAGCAGCAGACAGATCATCAGATGAAGCCGAGATGGTCATCTAGTTTAATGTTGCCTGCAGTACCTGCAGAAGAATAATTTCTCTCCACTAAATTAAAATCCAAAATAATTCTCTGACAAAAATGGCTTAAATGTAATTAAATGTTCAGTTTGAAATATTTCTGAGCTGTTAAGCAAAGTTAGAACATTTTCACTAATACACTAGATTTTCTGTTTTATCATTTATTATAATTGTATTCAATTATTTTACTTTGAGATGTTGAAGCTCTTTAAACAATAAATTAAGTTACCTGTTTTGTACATTTCTGCTTCAAATCATTTGGCACTTATAAATAATGTATTATTATTATTGTTATTATTATTATTATTATTAAAGGGAAAGGGGTGGGAGGCGTATCAAAAGTACAAACCAACATGGTCTTATAATATATTGTTATGCCATGAATTAGCTGTGACGAATCACACTTTTTGGAAAGCTAATTTCAATTTCAGTTCTCACACTTACACTTGACATAAAACAAATTATAAAATACATACCGGTAATAAAACAAACAAGAGTTATAAGACAGTACAAAGGTAATTAAAAGCTGTATGCTAGTTCAAACAAATGGGTTTTTAGTTTGGACTTAAACTATTGCAAAGACTCAATGTTACAGAGATCAGGTGGGAGTAAGTTCCAGAGTTTGGGAGCAGAGCGGCTGAATGCTCTGCTCCCCATAGTGACAAGACGAGCAGGGGGAACGGTGAGATGGACAGAGGAAGAGGATCTGAGGAGGCGGGTGGGTGTGGCAATGTGAAGGAGGTCCGAGAGATATGGAGGTGTGAGGTTGTGAACTACTTTAAAAGTTAGAAGAAGTATTTTATAGTTGATGCGATATGTGATTGGAAGCCAATGGAGCTGTCGTAAAATAGGTGTGATGTGATGAATTAAGGGGGTCTGAGTAATAATACGAGCAGCTGAATTTTGAACCAATTGTAATTTATGCACAGTTTTCTGTGGCAAACCAAAAAGTAAAGAATTACAACAGTCTAAACGAGATGTGGCCAAACTGTGGACCAGAACAGCAGTGGAGTGCGGAGTGAGAGAAGGACAGAGACGGCGAATATTTCGGAGATGAAAATAAGCTGACCAAGTGATATTGTTGATATTGGAGGCAAAAGGATCGAGGATGACACCCAGACTTTCAACCTGAGGGGAGGGAGAAATGGAGGAGTTATCAACTGAAATGGAGAAATTATCAAATTTACTTAGTATTGAAGTAAAGTTCAATACTAAGAGAAGTTCAGTTTTACTGGAATTTAATTTGAGGAAGTTAAGAGAAAACCACTGTTTTATTTCAAGAAGACAATCAGTGAGGGAGGAAAATGGAAGCATGGAACTAGGTTCGGTTGAAACATAGAGTTGGGTGTCATCTGCATAGCAATGAAACTGGATGTTCTGTTTGCAAAAAAATATTACCAAGGGGGAGGAGGTAAATGATAGACAACAAGGGTCCCAGGACAGAGCCCTGGGGAACACCTGAAGAGACGGGAACTGGGCGAGAGGTAAATGATTGTAACTGAACAAACTGAGAGCGGCTTGAGAGATATGAACGGAACTAGTTGAGAAGTCTATTTACAATACCAAGAGAGGATAATCTATCAATAAGGATGTTATGTGAAATTGTATCAAAAGCCGCAGTCAGATCAAGGAGAAGGAGTCAGCAGCAAGAAGGAGATCATTTGTAAGCGCTGTTTCTGTACTACAGAGTGGACGGAAGCCAGGTTGGAATTGTTCATATAGATTATTGCTGGAAAGATGAGAATGGAGTTGAGCAGCAACTGTCTTTTCTAGAATTTTAGAAATAAATGGAAGAT